TATGAACCAAATCCTAAGAAACAAATTCCCTAGGCCAACACCATTCTGGAACATGGTGTTCTGTGATTCTCTTTTTCAAAAAAATATTTCACCTTTGGTACCCTAAGACTGCAAAGGCTGGAGTTTGGGTAGTTTTGTTTATATCCTCAGGATATTTTTTGTTGTCTTGTTCCTTCTCAGCAGTAAAGTTGTCTTCTGCTCTATCTTTGCAGTCTGCAACTTTAGTGGAGTTTCCTTTCTGGTCAAAATCAACACTTCTTATCATTGAACTGGGCTCTTTGCTCTTGATTTTCAACACATATCCTACTAAAAGTGTCTAGTAGTAGCCATGGCACCATCTCAAAATTAGACTGCCTTGAAATTTCTTTGTTCAGATTAACTAGTCTGTCACATTTAATCTGAGCCTCAGGTGAAGTCCTTGAACAAAAGCAAAATGTAGACAAAAATTTCTGCCAAAATGTAACGTACATGGTCCAATAGCCAGTACAGTCCTCCTCTACAGAAAATTCCTTAGTCTGGTCTTTACTGGCAACTTTTCTGTCAGCATTCTGGTCTTCTGAGCTCTGATCAGAATCTCACATGAGTTCAGTTTGGAGGTGTTCCAGAAGCTCCTGAACCATGTAGCCAGCAAACATAGTAGCAATTATTCCATTTCTCTCATACTATACTCTGTCTTGGTTATTTTTCTAGCTGCTGTAACAACATAGCTGACAAAGTTAAAGATGGAAAGTTTATTTTCACACACATTTTGTAGAGGTTTCACTCCGTAGTCAGCTGTGTCCAAAGCAGATGGAATGGCAGAGGGGTATCACAGAGAAGAAAAAGTTCATGTTGTGGCAGGCAGAAGGTAGAAAAACAGCAAGTAACCACAGCAGCAGCTCAAGTAGCCTTTTCTTTCTGCCTTCATATTATATCCACAGGCTGAGGACATATCTCAGTAGCACAGCACCTGCCTAGCAAGTGTGAGGTCCTGAGATCAATTCCCAATATCCCTGGCCCCAAAGACCAAAGAATTACATATTCTACCCAGGCTATAAACCTGTTGGTGTCACCCATACCTGCAGTGAGGCACTCTTAGTCATACACCCTACATTGTTAACCAACATTCACACACAGCATAACACACACACACACACACACACACACACACACACACAGAGCTTTACTCAACATTCACACACTCTAATCAAGCTACTTTAAAACTCACTTAACTCACTACTTATGATCACATGAGGCTTTTGGAGTCATCTAGATACAAACTATAACACTGGGTCATACAGTACTTCTATTTTCAGTTTTTGGATCAACTTCGACATCTCTTTCCATAGTGGCTGAAGTGATTTACATTCCTTCCAGCAGCAGAGTGATAAGACTGGACAGCTTTCTCTCCTTGATTTTAGATGAAATGATTTTATATTGGCAGAACTGGGGATTGAACTCAGGTTCTCGCACTTGCCAGGCAAGCGCTTATTCTACTGAGCTATCACCCCAGCCCTGATTTTAGATGAAATGATAGCAGTTTTCCATATTAAGTAGAATGTTGCCAATGGTTTTATCATATGCAGCCTTTATTATGTTGAGGTATGATCCTTCTACACTTACTTTCCTCAGGGCTTTTATCATGAAGGTATTTTGAGTTTTGTCAAAGGCTACATCTTTATTTTCTGATTGAAGGTTAAACTGGATTTTATGATCATCTCTGTGTGACTACCAGACTTTGTTGTTGACAACTATAGAATATATGATTGGAAAACATTTTATTTTATTTATTTTTAATTTAATTTATTTATTTATGTGTGTGTGTGTGTGTGTGTGTGTGTGGCCAGCTCAGTCCACCAAGGGGGCGGGGCTGGCTGGCATGTGGTGCTGGGGGATTGAACTGCGGTCCCTGTGCTTTGCTAAGCTTGTTCTAAGTAGGTGCTTTAGACCACTGAGCCATCTCACCAGCCCTGGAAAACATTTTTCAAATGCTGTAATTTTCTCTGATCATAAGAATGTAATGAGAAATATTTTTTCTCTCTGTAACTAGCTGTCATTTTTAATTGACTCTGTTTTTTATGTATAGATATATCTATATGTCAAACTTCTTTAGGCATCTATAGTCAAGAGTTTACCATATAAATAATTTATAAAATTTGCATAAGTTCATAACCTGGTATACCTGGTTCTTTAAGGCAGGGAGAGAATAAAGTGGAGTTGATAATTTGCTAACTGTAATTGGAAGTCATTTGAATATAACCTTATTATAATTATTTGTTAATATTTTAGTTCAGTTACATTTCTAAGAACTCTCTAGGTAAGATAACACTGCTTACAGCAGAATTTTGTACTCCAAGGCAGGGAATAGTAGTGTCTTCATTATTCATTGGTCTAGCATCTTTATTTCTCCCATTTCCTCATGTGGCCTTTAGAAGATTTTTGCATTCTAACCTCAGGGAATCAGTAAAAATAAAGCTCTCAGGGGCCTGTGAACTTCACAAGTAAGAACCAGTGCATATTCATATTCATAGTAGGAGGACTGTATATTTTAAATGTATTTGGTTGTTACATTGTCTCACTACACAGCTCAGACTCATAGTGATCCTCCTGTTTTCAGCCTCCCCCATGCTGGGATTACAGGTATGCACCACTATGCCCAGACTCTGTGGCCTACTCAGCCTGCCCTGGGGGAAGGGCTGGTGCAGCATGTGGTGCGCGGGATCAAATTGCAGTCTCTGTGCTTGCCTAAGCAGGTGCTTTAGTCCACTAGGCTATCTCGCCAGCCCCCAAGACTCTTTTTTAGAAAAAAATTAAAACAATTGAATAGTAGTGTAATTGTCATTATAGTAGATATTGTGCATGGTCCCATATTCTTGCTTCACACAAGAGTTGGATGTAAAGTCCCCCCCCAAAAAATTATAATGTAATAAACCTAAATTTCAGCATAAGATTTACAGGGTATAATTTAAAAATTTTTTGACACTTTTAGTATTTAAACAGATGTGTGGAACCATATGTTGGGAGCCAGTGGTCACAGTCCTGAGACAGTGCTTGATCAATAATGATATTTCATCCTGACATGTGTTGCAAATGAACATAGCCAGGAACTTGACAATGTTTATCATTTTGTCTGACTATATTGAATTGGCAGCTTGGCAGAATTTGCCTTTAAATGGGAAATCTGTGTTATCTATTGAACATACTACAAAACACTTTTTTTTTTTTTTTTGCAGAAGCAGGGATTGAATTCAGGCCCTTACGCTTACCAGGGAAGCACTTATTCTATTGAGCCATCTCCCCGGCCCCCAAAACACTTTTCTTTATATTCCCTTACCACTTAACAAATTTAACTTGTTCACCATCTTGCACTTGACTAAGCATTTTAGTATTCATGCATCTCAGCAATTAGGTTATAGCACCTTGAAAGCAAGGAGCTGCATTTTATAATCTTAGACATAGTTTATTTATTTAGTTTTTGTATTTTAGGGAAGGGTCTACAGGGTGTACAGGGTCTCACTGCATTGATCAGACTCGTACTGATCTACCTGTTTACAGAGATGGGATTACAGGCATGCACCACCACACCTGGACTCTGGCTGGCTCAGCTCACCATGGGGGTGGGACTTGTGTGGCATGTCATGCTCGGGATAGAACCATGGTCCCTGTGCTTGCATAAGCTTCCCTAAGCAGGTGCTTTAGTCTTCTGAGCTATCTCGCTGGCCCTATTGTCAACATATTTTAAAGAGTCTTCTTAGTTCATCTTTTTAAATCTCTATTTAGCAAACACCTGAAACCTAAAATGGTATTCTATCTTGTTGAATTAAAGTCCCTATAAGCAATTAGCTTTTAATTAATTATTTTTGTGATACTGGGAATTCAACTCAAGACCTTGCGTTTGCCAGGCAGGTACTTAGGTCACTAAGCTATCTCCCCAGCCCAAGCTTTTAGACAAAATAGTGAAGGTATAATCATGGTTAGAATAGGTTTGGGGCAAGAAAGGCATAACAAACTCCTAATGTTCAGCCAACATATATGAGTTGGTGAGTCACTATAGCAGGAAGTACTAAATTAGGAATGAACCATTACTCTACAGTTTGCAACATCACTAAGGTGATACAAGTGATGTGTAGGAAGACATAATGAGAGCTAGAGACAAGAGGAGAGCTAGAGTAGCAGAGAGGAGCTTGTCTAGCAAGTGTACAATCTGGAAATTAAGAAGATAAAGTCTATGGAAAAGAAAGACTTGTTTGGAACACTTAATGGTCTTTTGAGTTGGATTCTTCAAAAAGGCAGACACTAAAGCAAGTATTACAAGGGAATGATGCCACCAGACTGAAAGAGAAAAAATGCAAATAAAGTGTATTAATAAGCAGGTTGCCACTCAATCCTCTGAAATATACCAAGGGGTGCAGGAATTCGTACACTCATTCTCCAACACCTATGATCAATTAAGAATTACTTTTTTAAAAAATTTATTTATTTATTTATTTATTTTGTGTGTGGCCAGCTCAGCCCACCTGGGGGCGGGGCTGGCTGGCATGTGGTGCTGGGGATTGAACCGCGGTCCCTGTGCTTTGCTAAGTTTGTTCTAAGTAGGTGCTTTAGACCACTGAGCCATCTCACCAGCCCCAATTAAGAATTACTTTGAGAGGAAAACTTATAAAAGACTTCTGTAGATCACCTTTAGAGTAGGCGAGGAAGACATGCAATGGCATGAACAGTGTTCATGAAAACAGGAGATCGGACATAGCTCACATTTTGGCATCTTTACATAGATACTAGTTGAACATTTTTTTTTTTTTGGCAGAACCGCGGATTGAACTCAGGCCCTTGTGCTTGCCAAGGAAGAGCTTATTCTACTGAGCCATCTCCCCAGCTCCTAGTTGAACATTCTTAATGATACATTACAGCATTTCAGATTTTGGATTTTGAAAATAGGAATTCTTAATCAGTTGTTGCTGTTTCGTTAAAGCCAAAAATCTATGTTTCCAATTTCATCACCCTTTTTCTTGACTTTTCAGCTGTGAAAGAAAGGTAACAATGAAGCCACCCATTCTTTTGGTTCTTGTGGTCGGTTCTGTAGTCAACACAAACTTGAAGATGGTGTCAAAGAGAAATTCTGGTAAGTTGCTGGCAACTTCTTCCTATTTTTGGTTAAATATCTGCAGCTTTTTTGAGTACTTAGAGGACATCTTTGCCTTATGCCAGGAATGTCTTTAAAGAGAAGCACTTGTATTCTAGTTGTATTAGAAAATAGCCAAAGAAAAAAATGAGCTTTTAGCCCACCACTGTGAAATTGAGAAAATGTTAGAGAACTGGAGTAATTTTGTTAAAATTAAATGACTACCACATTCTTCATGGACAATTGCATGTTAAAGTTTTACTTAGATGTATTTATGCTTGCTAGTGAATAACATATGGGATTAAACCTTTGTAAATGAAAGATAGGAGGCCTTTAATGATAAATATCCTTTGCTTCTAATTGAGTGTGCAGGGTTACATTTTAAATGAATGTTTTAGATAAATATCAGTGAGCTTTAACTCTTCAAATTTGTGCCAAGTCCCTAACAGGCAGAATCTTAAAACCTTCAAGTTCAAAATATGAGCTAATTGCCTGAAGAGCAATTTCTTGAGAGGAAATATCTGTTCCTAGAACATGGTAGTCTGGCAGGCTGCCATGATTGTATTAAGAAATTAGTTTTAGATGGTAGATATCCCAGTCAAAGCTTAATAACTATTTAATAACACTTAAATATGTCTTTCAGTTTTGATGATTTATTCTAAGTGTAATTACAAACCATGCGTGTAACTTTAAAAATTTATTTCTGTCTATAATCATTCCATAAGACATTGACAAATGTGTTATTATATGGCGAGAAAGACTGCTGGGACTTTTTACTGGCTTCTAACTCAGTTGTATCTAGGAATTAAAATATATGTACCATATTCTCTATAAAAAATAAAGTCCAGGAAAAATGTATATGATTATTTTTCAAGGCAATAATACCATGGTACCATGATTTATGAACTTATTTTGTTGTACAATTTTGAGTAAGATAGCTGTCTCTGTTTGTATGGGAAAGATGCCTGTGGTCATGTTTGTCACCTGATGTGGAGTTTGTGAATGGAAGCAAATTTGTGCCCAGTGGCTTTGTTTGCAGACCAAATTATTTGAAAACAGAAATGTTCATCAAATGAGGCATTTCCTATTGGGTAAGGCTTAGAGTGTAGGTAATGTTTGTTTGTGAATAGAAGTACTTGCTAATTGAAATAGCTAACAAATACGGTTATACTTCAATTGTTAGTATATTAACACATCTATAATGAAAGTTGGTCACATGGCAGAAAACAGAAGAGCAATGCTAACATTCAAAGGATTCTGTAATGGTAAAGCTGTGGCAATATATTGACTTCCTCTTAGAGCCTTATTTATGTGAATCACATAATCATAATTGGCTCTCTTTCATCTTTATTTGTAGGATATTACCTATCACCTCTCTGACTGGACATATTACTCATGGCTGCTTGTCACTGCCTTACTTTTCAAGTCAGATTTTCACTTTCATTGTTGGTACAAGTTAATTGTTGATCCCATTTTCTTCTCTTTGTTGTGTCATAATATACATGACAGAGTCTTAAAGGAAAAAATTATGTTAAGGTTTTAAAAGGTCATCTGTATTATGCTAGTCTGAACTGAAGTAAAATCTTAACTAAAAACAAAACAAAACCCCACAAGGTGCTATCTTTTTCCCTTTTTTCCTTGGTGGGTGTGTGTGTATGATAGAGAGGGAGAGAGGCTATTAACACAAACAATATTGTTATTGATATATAGGTGTTATTTAAAGATTATTTTAAAAGATTGATTTGTTCTGTGAGAGGCTATTTGTGGCTCAATAGATATCTTTTGGCTTCTTCTTCTTGCAAATGTTGTCAGGTTTATCAAAGAAATATGAAGTATCAGAATGGTTTATTTTTGCTATTCCCCATCTTTTTGTCTTCCCCTCCAGGACAATAGCAATTATAATATTAGAGCAAAACGTTTCTCACAGGTCTAGGTAATGGGTGATTTGAATTTACCGTTAGTCTTTTCCTTTTGATACAGGGAGAAAAACTGATCTTGGGTGGGTGACCTCCAAACCATATAGGGAACCTCCAAATGACATAGGGAGAAAAGATCTCCCGACCTGACCTGTAGGAGTCCCTGTTCTCTAAAACCGAAGAATGAATTTTAGGAACAAACGGAGGTTATGAGCAGAATATATTTATTGAGGGAAAGAAGGCTCCTGTCCCAGAGATGGACAGGAGGGGGGCCCGAGCGGGTAGTTACCCGGGAAGCTGTCTCTTCCAGGGACCTTTATAGTGCAAAAACCATGTGGGGCTAAGGTGGAGAGAATGGGAACTCGCTTCGGTGGGCAGGAGGTGGGACAAAACTATGGTCAACCAATGGAATTAAAAGCAGCATTGCTCAGGTAAAACTGATTAAATCCAGTATCAAATGGGAAAGAGAGTCACATAGCAAGCGGGCATGAATATGGAACAGGGTCTTTTCCTATTGGAGGTTGGAATGCGGGACAGGGTCTCTTCACATTGGGGGTTGGGCTAGTGATTCACTTGGGTCTTTTCCGGTGATGGATACCCATTTAGAATATCAATCCCAGGTGCTACTATTTTAGCATTTGTTTGGCCTTTAGGTCTTTAGGTCTGGTTCACAGCAGGAGCATCCGTCCCTCCCACAGTTCTAAGGCATCTCATCCTTTGTGCTGTCTCCTTCGAGGTCCTGGCCCTGTCTGACTGCCTATAATATTTCTATCTAACTTGGATGCCTGCAATACTTTTAAGTCTTTCTGCTTCTGTTCTTTGTATATGTAGAGTAGGCAGAAAAGACTAATAGGCTAGAGTTGGTTGGTTCATGCTTATCTATGTGGTTTTATTTTCTGTGTTCATTTTATTTTTTTGTTAGTTTCTGTGTTTATTAGTTCGTAATATAAGAAAATAGATGTGGGACCAGTAAAATGCATTCTAAACTGACCATAGCTGATGTAATTAGGGGTTCTTTGGAGCAGATGTTTTCAGTCTTACCTTCCGTTTAGCCACTGTAATCATAATCCCCCTCTCTAGTCACTGACTTTTGTAACTTTATTATTTTAAGCAGAAAATAGAATTATTTGCACTCTAAGTAAAATAGTTTTACTTGTGTTGTCTTTCTGTTTGAAGGATATTTTAAATATACTTCAGCAGTTCTGTACTGAGAATCTGTCCTTATGTGGTTTGCAGGTTCCTTTGTCCTTGACTAATTAAAGAGATTTTGAGTTTCAGTTCATAGTTTCTCTTCCTGGAATCACCAGTGGAACTCAAAGCTTCTATTTTTTTCCCTTATTCCCATCTCTCAAGTTGAAAAATGAAAAATGATTGTGTCCTTTATTCGTCATCGTTTATGACATGTTAGTGAAATGATTTTTGTGTGGTTCATTATAGACAGGGATTCTTTCACTCAGATCCCTACAGATTCTGAAACCAAAGGCCTCTCTTATGCATTAGAGGAGCAAGGGACAACACTTTCTCTTGTACTTTTAAACAAGAAAAATAACTAAATAACAGATGCAGGTTGTTCCCCCCCCACACACATACTAGCTGTGGAACCCAAGGCATCACATATGTGAGGTAAGCATTTTACCATTGGGCTTCATCTTTTAAAAAGTTCCTTTTTAAAACTCTACCGTGGGCACATATTGAAGTCAACCTCCTGGTTTTTGATGATATGCAATTTTTATAAATGATAGCCCACAATGTTTCTATGTAATGTCCACTGAGGCTGGGCAAATCTAACCACCAGTGTCGCCTCTGGAAGTAGAAAAGGTATATCTGAAGCTATGTCCAGGGCCTGGTTACATTGGAACATGAGAAAATGAAAAGCCTCTAGTTTTAAGGATTGCAGTATATTGGCCAAGTATGAGTTTTTATGTGTTCTTTACAAAATACTTATGAGGTCCATCAGTATTTGTGTTCTTGAAATTTAGCACTAAGTGTAAAGGTCCACTTAAAAAGTATTCTATTATAGATGGATTTACCTTAACACATTCATGACAGAGCTATACATGCATGACTGTCCGATTGAGTGGTTTGTACCATTCAACAGGACTTTTCCATATCATCCAATGAGCAGTCACACATTTATCACTCATAGTTTGGGAACATTTGAAGGTGTCATCATATATGACAAGAAATCAACATCTTGACAAAGGTCAATAAGATTCATGCCCATTTCTTTTTTAAGTACAGGTCACAGCTAATTTTTTAACAGGTTGGCTGGCAGAAATTACTTTCCCTCAAGAAAATCTTGTATTTGGCTCTTTTACCCTGAAAAACTATGTCCTCAGAGTATTACAGATCTTATTATTAAGCGCATTAAACTTTCTTCATAGTTCTTTCTGACATTTGTTGCTGCTATTGCATGAAAATGTGAGTTTTCTAATGCAGCTGTTGGCATTCAGTTATCACACAGTCTCTATTTGAAAGTTCATAGTAGAAAAGACATCAGTTTTATGGGTGTTTTAAATTTTGAACACAAGTTAGATTGTCTTGAAGTCAGTTCATTTGTAGGATAACTGTAGCAAACCACTTTTCAGTGATCTGCTATTGGAGCAACATTACAAAGCTACCAAGATATCTGAATTAGCTGGAAAAATTTAGTTCCTCATTGCAAGAAGGATGTTAATATCTGCTAACACACAGTAAGCTAAGTACCTATTGTGAGGGACATTTTGCTTTGCTTACATAGAGCTATTCAATTCCATGTAAGGAGAGAATGGTTTTGACAAGGCTTTGGCTTCTTGGTTCATAGAATTATGGAATTTTCTGATTGTTGATGAGTGGATCACAACATATTTCAATAGAAATACACTAACCATAGAATTTCTAGTTTGACAACTAAGGGACTCCATAGGAAAGGAAATAGAAGTTATGTAGGCAGGTATTTCTGGCATAAGCTAGAAATAATCTCTCAAACCACTTACAAGTGTAAACAATTTTACCTCCTTTGAGAAAAAGTTTGTAGCATAATTAAAATAAAGTGAGCCATCCTGCTTTGAATTCTTCAAAAAGAGACAATAAGATGTTTCCTTT